AAGGTCTAGAAGAACCACCCTCTCTCCGCACCTCTTAACCACAGAAGAGTGAGGGTGCTAAAGTGAAATACTTTGTTTACATTGCGTTGAAATGGAATTTGAGATCCGAACAAATTTTGAAACCAAGAACACTAAATAAATATTTTCACAACTACATATATATTAAAAAAATTTGGCGATGGTCTTGTCGGGTCCCTTATAACCGTGTTTGACTGTAATAAAAACCGTCGCATGTGAATTGGTGTCAAATGAGTGCAAATAATGCGAATTGCAACACAGCTATAAATATGTTTAAAAATATACACAGCAATAATTGTGGAACTTATTCGAAGGTTTTGAAAAAAAGATTTAAAAAATATTCTTTTAAAAATCCACGCCTTATAATAGGCCCTTAAAAATATTCTTTAAAAAATCCACGCTTTATAATAGGCCCTTAAAAATATTCTTTAAAAAATCCACGCATCATAGCAGACCCCTAAAAATATTTTTTTTTTTTTTAAAATCCACGCATCATAGCAGCCCCAAGCCTCATAGCAGACCCTTAAAAATATTTTTTAAAAAATCCACGCATCATAGCAGACCCACGCCTTATAGCAGACCCTTAAAAATATTTTTTAAAAAATCCACGCATCATAGCAGACCCACGCCTCATAGCAGACCCTTAAAAATATCTTTTAAAAAATCCACGCATCATAGCAGACCTACGCACATAGCAGACCCTTAAAAATATCTTTATCGTGGCCTTCCCCTTCTGCGTGAACCATCAGCTGGTTCGCTTTATATGCCTTCTGGGCTTGGGCATCGTCATCCATTCTCACAACATGACCAAGCCAACGTAGTCGCCGCAGGCTCAATACGTCTAACAATGTCGATGTCCGAGAATAGCTGGTACAATTCATGGTTCATTCGATGGCGATGTTCATCGTCAACGCAGATCGGCCCATAGATCTTTCGGAGAATTTTTCTCTCAAATACTCCAAGAGCTGCCTCATCTGCTTGCCTAAGTACCCATGCTTCAGATCCATATAACAGCATGGGTAGTATCAGCGTCTTGTCGAGTGTGTGTTTGGTCTGGCGGGAGGTGACCTTGCCTTTGAGTTGTTTGCTCAGACCATAGTAGCATCTGTTGGCCATCACTATCCTTCTACGAATTTCAAAACTGATTTCATTCGTTTTATTTATGGCGGTACCGAGGTATATAAAATCGTTGACTACCTCGAAGCTGTAGTTCTCAAGTTCCACAGTTGGTGCGAATCTACAGGACGTTTTGCGCGTTGATACCTTTTGCTTGGTCTTCTCGCCGTTTACTGCCAGACCCACTTTGGCAGACTCCTTGTCAATTTGTTCAAAGGTGGCTGTTACCGCTCTCAATGTTCGACCCATTATGTCGATGTCATCGGGGGGTAGGCGAGTAACATGCTGCGTTATTATTCTTCAGCCGATTGATTGCTATTCTGACTTCATCTTGGCTAGGTGGTATACACTCTATGCTGTCATCTGGGGTATCCACTTCACTGCTACTATTTGATACCAGAAGTTTTTCAAAAATGCTACTTCCAGATCCTCAGCACTCTGTCTGTATCTGTCAAAAAATATTTTTAAGAAAATCCACGCCTATTGTAGTCTCCAAAAAATATTTTTAAGAAAATCCACGCCTATTGTAGTCTCCAAAAAATATTTTTAAGAAAATCCACGCCTATTGTAGTCTCCAAAAAATATTTTTAAGAAAATCCACGCCTATTGTAGTCTCCAAAAAATATTTTTAAGAAAATCCAAGCCTATTGTAGTCTCCAAAAAATATTTTTAAGAAAATCCACGCCTATTGTAGTCTCCAAAAAATATTTTTAAGAAAATCCACGCCTATTGTAGTCTCCAAAAAATATTTTTAAGAAAATCCACGCCTATTGTAGTCTCCAAAAAATATTTTTAAGAAAATCCACGCCTATTGTAGTCTCCAAAAAATATTTTTAAGAAAATCCACGCCTATTGTAGTCTCCAAAAAATATTTTTAAGAAAATCTACGCCTATTGTAGTCTCCTGGAAAAAATATTTTTAAAAATCCACGCCTATTGTAGTCTCCAAAAAAATATTTTTAAGAAAATCCACGCCTATTGTAGTCTCCAAAAAATATTTTTAAGAAAATCAACGCCTATTGTAGTCTCCAAAAATATTTTTAAGAAAATCCACGCCTATTGTAGTCTCCAAAAAATATTTTTAAGAAAATCCACGCCTATTGTAGTCTCCAAAAAATATTTTTAAGAAAATCCACGCCTATTGTAGTCTCCAAAAAATATTTTTAAGAAAATCAACGCCTATTGTAGTCTCCAAAAAATATTTTTAAGAAAATCCACGCCTATTGTAGTCTCCAAAAAATATTTTTAAGAAAATCCACGCCTATTGTAGTCTCCAAAAAATATTTTTAAGAAAATCCACGCCTATTGTAGTCTCCAAAAAATTTTTTAAAAATACCACGCCTATTGTAATCTCCAAGAAATTTTTTTTAAAAAATCCACTCCAATTTTTAAAAATATTTCTGTTTTCTTCCAGCTGACTTTTTGGAACCCTGCAGTATCACGGACCCAAGTTTTAGCAGCTGTTTTGGCAAGACCGTGGAGAGTATTCACACCGTGTGGAGAAATGGTAAATAGATTTTGAAATATTGTTTTTCAAAATTTTCTAAAAGTTTGTTATTTTTCTTCTAGGCGTCCCTGGCCTGAAATCTGTCAGCTCCATTGATCCCATGTTCGTAAAGCGCATTGGTATCAATCAGGATTTAAATAATCCAATTTCCATTAATTTGAATTTAAATAATGTCACCCTTACGGGGTTGAGTGATATCAAGGCCAAGGAGTCGAGGTGAGTAGGAAAGTCTCTTTGAGACCTCTTCGAGCGGATTCAAACTTTTTTTTCATTTTTTGTTTGTTTTGCAGATTTGAGACCAAACCCTTGGGTGTCATGGTCAAGATGGCCCTAACCAAATTGGCTGTCAATGGTGGCTATGACATTAGTGGTCATATTTTCACACTCCCCGTGGGAGGAAAGGGCAAGGCGACTATTTCAGTTGGTAAGGTCATGAAGTTACAGAAGGTCTTCAACCTCAAGAAGATGTATATATGGCCCACTGTAGAGAGTATTAAATTTTTTGGATGCCTATAAGACCCTCATTTGAGGTTCTTCGATTTATTTGCGGCCTCTAAGACCCCCTATAGTTGGTCTTCTATTTATTGATGACCTATAAGACCTTCTATAGGGGCTCTTCTATTTATTGAGGGTCTAAAATACCCTACATAGTGGTTCTTCTTATTATTGAAGGCCTTTAAGATCCTCTATAGAGGGTATTCTATTTATTGATGGTCTATAGAACCCTCGGTTGGGAGTCTTATATTTATTGAAAGCCTATTGGTCCCTCAATAGGTTCTTCTATAAGGGGCCTTTTGCTTATACAAGGCCTATAAGAACCTTTGTATGGGCTATTCTACTTATTGAAGGCGCATAAGACCATCTATAGAGGGTCTTCCATTTTTTTGAAGGCCTAGATCCCAAAGGAAACTAAAAATTTGACTTTCCCAAAAGTCGTTTAACCCTTTCTCTTCTTTCCTTCTTCTTTTCCAGAGAGTGCAATTGCCCGTGTCGGCATCCTCTTCAAGTTGCGTGAAGATCGTGGCTACACTTTTACCACCGTCGACGATCTCCGTTTGGACCTCCAAGAAGTTCGTGGTGTCTACTTGAATTTGGATGGTGCCGATGCCACCCAAGAAAATATGATCCTCAACTCGTATGGTGATGCCATATTCGAAATTTTACGTCCCACCCTCAATGAGGTGTTGAGTAAGCTGTTCAAAGATCGTTGGACCAAAATTTTCAATTATGTTCCAGCCAATTTTGTGTTCGAAAATTTGCCACAAAGCGTTAGCACCTAAGAAGACGTCCTGAGGAGGAGGAGGTGGAAAATATGAATTTATTATTTTGTAGGCTTTTAGGTCCAAACCCATACACGTCTATGGTGCCTAATGTCATTTCATGTTATATACGTATAGACTGTAAATAATTGTATTTTGTTATAAATAAAAAAATAAATATTATTTTTTAAAAATAAATTCAATTTTTGAAGATTAAACTTTTTGAACGAACCTCGTATATGGTCGGATTGAGATAGAGACCCCCATTTCACAGTAGATAATTCTATTAGAGATTAGAAGATTTGTCTTTTGCTTTATATAGCAAAATACAAAACATGTTGCATACTTTTAGGCGCAAATACAAAAATAACACCTAATATAATAATAATAACTGAATGCTAGTCTATCGACATTCTTTAAAATAAATATGGAAAAAATATTCTTTGAAAAAATCCACGCCTTATTGTGGACCCTTAAAAATTTATTTAAAAAATCCACTGAAATCGAAGGATATATAGGGACTTTGGTGCACAATCTACCAAAAATCGGAAGAAATTTATATGGGTGCTATATAAACCTGAACCGACTTTCACGAAATTTAACACACATAATTCTAGTCTCAATTGATTACGCTATGCCAAATTTCATGCAAATCGAAGCATATATAGGGACCCTGGTGCACAATTTACCTAAAATCGGACGAAAATATATATGGGAGCTATATATAAACCAGAACCGATTTTCACGACATTTAACACATATAATTCTAGACTCAATGCATTACGCTATGCCAAATTTCATGCAAATCGAAGGATATATAGGGACCTTGGTCCACTATTTACCTTAAATCGGACGAAAATATATATGGGAGCTATATCTAAATCTGAACCGACTATCATGAAATTTAACACACGTTATTCTTGACTCAGTTCATTACGCTATGCCAAATTTCGTGCAAATCGAAGGCGATAAAGGGACGTTGGAGCACTATTTGCCTTAAATCGGACGAAAATATATAGGAGCTATATCTAAATCGGAACTGACTTTCACGAAACTTAACACACATCATTCTAGACCTAATCCATTTCGCTATGCCAAATTTCGTGCAAATCGAAAGATATATAGGGACTTTGGTGCATAATTTACATAAAATCGGACGAACATATATATGGGAGCTATATCGAAATCTCGACCGATTTTCCCGAAACTCACCACTCATCATTCTAGACCTAATCCATTTCGCTATGCCAAATTTCGGGCAAATTAATATATATATAGGGACTTTGGTACACCATTTACCTTAAATCGGACGAAGATATATATGGGAGCTACATCTAATTCTGAACCGATTTTCAGGAAACTTAACACACATCATTCTAGACCTAATCTATTTCGCTATGCCAAATTTCGTGCAAATCGAAGGATATATAGGGACATTGGTACACCATTTACCTTTAACCGGTCGAAGATATATATGGGAGCTATATCTAAATCTAATCCGATTTTCACGAAACTTAACACAAATCATTTTAGACCTAGTTCATTACGCTGTGCCAAATTTCGTGCAAATCGAAAGGTATTTAGGAACTCTGGTGGACCATTTACCTAAAATCGGACGAAAATATATATGGGAGCAGTATCTAAATCTGAACCGATTTTCACGAAACATAACACATATCGTTCTTTACTCAATTTAGGATGCTTTGCCAAATTTCGTGCAAATCGAAGGATATAGAGGAACTTTGGTACACCATTTACCTTAAATCGGACGAAAATATATATGAGAGCTATATTTAAATCTGAACCGATTTTCACGAAACTTAGCACACATCATTCTAGGCTTAATTCAGAACCTTCTGCCAAATTTCGTGCAAATCGAAGGATATGGAGGGACTTTGGTGCACTATTTACATAAAATCGGACGAAAATATATATGGGAGCTATATCTAAAAATGAACCGATTTTCACTAAACTTAGCACACATCAATCTAGACCTAGTTCAATACTATGTGCAAAATTTTGTATCAATCGGACCAATATTGGGAGTTTGGTGCACTATTTACCTAAAATCGGACGAATCTATATCTGAGCCGATTTTCCAACTTTTCAATAGGGTTCGTCCTTGGACCAAACAAATGAGCTGTGTCAAATTTCATCCAAATCGGATCATAAATGCGACCTGTACTTTGTTTAGAATTTAACATGGACAGACAAACGGACGGACATGCATAAATCGACTTAAAAATTGATTCTATGCATATTCTCAAAAGGAACCATGGGTCTATCTAGTTTCCTGTTGCCTGTTACAAACATATGCACAAAGACATAATACCCTGTACCACAGTGTGGCGAAGAGTATAAAAAATCCACGCCTTATTGTGGACCCTGAAAAAAGTATTTAAAAATCCAAAAAATAACGATTGTTTATTTATTTCCCTCCATCCAATTTATGTAAATTATAACCTCAAATAACCCATTTAGGCCAACTAACCGACCGTATCTAATAACAAACTGTCAAAAATCTTCTTTTAATTTCAAACACAAAAACATAAAAAAAACAGTAGCAGCGAATGGTGGTTGGGCTCGATTGGTAGCTGTTGATAAACCCAAGGCAAAATGAAAAGTGTGCCATGCCACCACCTCTGTGTGTTTAGGCTGCCTAATGTCGAAGCGTTGGGGGCATGCGCATAAGCGTAGGCATAAATTTATACCTAAACAATTTATAGTTTCTTAACAAATTCATAAGAACATCAAATCACTTTAACGCCCATAACCAAAAGACTAGAAAAAAAACACTCAGAAAATTATTCGAAAAAACAACGAAATTAAATGAAACGATGCGTTTAAAAACAAATAAAAAAGGTGAATACTAAACAGCATTAAATACACAGATACATACATGCATGCATACCTACACACAGACACATATTTATTAAATAAATAACGTTGACAGGCGATAATGAAAAATTCATCATTAAAAAAAAAAAAACAATCATCAACAATTACTTCCAAACGGTGTTGCCACTTTTTTGGGAATACATATTTTGGTCGGATTAATTTTTTTTAATATTAAAATTTCATCTTTATTTGAGTGTTTTCTACCATAATTCTTGATTTTTAGGCTCGAATGTTTTTTTTTTGGTCGATTTTCAGTTTGGTAGAAATTTTAAAATTTTTGGTCGAATTTATAATTTTGTAGCTGGGACGGCTTTTGTAAATGTTTATATAATTGTATTTTCAATAATTTAAAATGTTTATGTTTTTGTAATTTTTCCGACGATTTTTAATTTGGTAGAAATTTAAAAAAAAAAAGGTAGATTTTTTTAAATTAAAATAATTAATCTGATTGTTTTCTACCATAATTCTTGATTTTTAGGTTCAAATGCTTTTTTTGGTCGATTTTCAATTTGGTAGAAATTTTTAAATTTTTGGTCGAATTTATAATTTTGTAGCTGAGACGCTTTTCAATAATTTTTATACCATTGTATTTTCAATAATTTAAAATTTTTATGTTTTTGTAATTTTTTCGAGAATTTTTTTAATTTGGTAGAAATTAAAAAAAAATTGGTCGAATTTTTTCAAACTTTAACTCAAACGCTGTTTGATTATTTTTTTCCACCCTTTATACAAACATTGTAATTTTTTCTATTTTTTTTTTTTTTGGTCGATTTTAATTTGGTAGAATTTATAAAAAAATTGGTCGAATTATAAATTTTGCAGCTAAGATGCCATTTAATTGTGTTGATATCTTCTATTATTGAATATTTGATGATTTCTTTTCTTAATCACTTTTTGGTCGCCTTTTAATTTGGTAGACATTTTCAAAAAATTTGGTCGAATTTTTACAACGTCATCTAAAACACACTCTGCCCCTATAGAACACCTGAAAATGAGAATCGTACCTGTAGACGCCACATATGCAAATGGAAAATCCATGTAAACAAACACTCACACACTCACCCATACCTACATTTTCAACACCCAACCATCATCGCCACACAAATTGGTCTTGGACTCACTTGACTTTCAGTTCAGTTCTTTTCTTTTTCTTCGTCTTTTGTTTTAATAAAAATAAATGCCTTTGACTTGTCGTCGCCGTCATCATCATTTAGTCTTAGCATAAAAATATAAATTTCTATAAAGACTGAATTATTATTATTTTTATGCTTTATTACCAACATTCACTGAATGTCTGTCCGTCCGTCTGTCTGCATATCTATAGGTCTGGAAATTGCTCATAATCATAATTCTCCATACATAAATATGCGCTTCTCGAACACATTTTCCACTACGCACACGTACACATCATTTGTCTCATCAAATCATTGTAACAGTTGTAATTCATACGTACAGAAGTCACATACATACATATTTGTATGTATGTCAGCATGCATACGGACAAGGGACCGAAAAAATCATAAATTTAAAAAGTTTTATTTTTCTTAAAAATAAAATAGATTTTTTAAATAATTTTTTTAGGGTCCCCAAATAAGGCGTGGATTTTTTAAATAATTTTTTAGGGATCCACAATAAGGTGCGGATTTTTATACCCTTCACCACACTGTGGTACAGGGTATTATGTCTTTCTGCATATGTTTGTAACAGGCAAAAGGAAATGAGATAGACACATGGTTCCTTTTGAGAATATGCATAGAATCACTTTCTGAGTTGATTTATGCATGTCCGTCCGTCCGTCTGTTGGTGTTAAATTGTAAACAAAGTACAGGTCGCATTTATAATCCGATTTGGATGAAATTTGGCATAGGTCACTTATTCGGCCCAAGGACGAACCCTATTGAAATTGGGAAAAATCGGTTCAGATTTAGATATAGCTCCCATATATATATTTAACCGATTTAATGTAAACAGTCCCTATATATCTTTCGATTTGCACGAAATTTGGTACAGCCTAATCATTTAGGTCTAGAATTATGTCTGCCAAGTTTCGTGAAAATCGGTCCAGATTTAGATATAGCTTCCATATATAGTTTCGTCCGATTTCATGTAAATGGTGCACCAAA